TCATCACTTTACCTCTAGAGGGACCTTCTGGGCCAATTATTGTACCGCCGTTGGACTCTGAGTAGAGCCTTAACAATAGCGGACCACTTTTGCGCCACTTCTACTGTTACACTGCAGCTGCTAGATGGATCTCTCCGGGTGGCTGCCATCTTGATGTTCACACCTTGTGCGTGTGTGTGTTCTCACTCTCAACTTTCAGCCCTGGGGTCGTTATCCGCCTGTCGTACATCTTCCCATCCCCAACGACTCTGCCAGGGTCGTACTCCCAATCATCTTCAAGTCTCCTCCAACCAGTCCTAACTCTACCCAGCATCCTACACTCTCTAATTAATCGTATGGTACCAAATTTTCCTCACCCTCAATCCTCCCTCTTCTTCCCATGAGTTCCCAATCTCCCCCACTGATAGTACCACTCTCCCCATCCTCCCCATCTCCCCACCTCAGGGTCGTCTTGGTCACCTGCAACACCTGTCGCCTTTACACCATTGCCAGACGACTTCTATATAATTACTGTGGTGGTCTCCGGCCCGAGCCTTCCTGTCTTGCCCTGACCACCTTGAGGCTGGGTGTCCTGTATTCTTTCTTTCTTTTCTTTTCTTTCTTTCTATCTTCTTTCGTCCTACCTCTTTCCTTCTTTCCCATCCCTTCTCATTTTCCTTCTTTGTTCACTAGCCTTAATACCTGACCCCCAAAAAAATTTTACCACTGTAGACCTGACATTCAGAAAATCTTACGTTTCTTCTCCAATATCACGCAATTTTCTCTAAATAAAATACTCTTGAGAATACCACCTCACTGCCTACCATACCATAGTCCCTGTCCACTAGAATAGCTGGCAAGATGACCTCAAAATTGTACTGAGATTTTACTGTAGTTAGATATGTTTTGTTTATATTTAGTTGGAGAGAAAGCAATATTGACCGTTTTATAGATTTTGAGTTTCGTCATTGATATCGAGAAAATATTGACCTTTTTATGAGACTTTGAGAGTATCGTCGCAGATATCGAGAAAAATATTGACCTTTTTATGAGACTTTGAGAGTATCGTCGCAGATATCGAGAAAAAATATTGACCTTTTTAGGGACTGAATTACGTCATAGATATCGAGAAAATATTGACCTTTTTATGAGACTTTGAGAATTTCGTCATTGATATCGGTAAACAGTATGTAGATAGATAATAAACACTGTGATTTTTACTGCACTTGAAGGCGCGGTGTTCATCTCGGCCGACGCCTCCATGTTAATCATAGTTCACAGAGTTAACGCTAGGGGATGCAGTTATATCACAGGACCAATGGTAAAATTATTCAGATTCACCGTAGGCATGACGTGATGACCTTGATCGACCAGGTTGTCGTGCACCCTATATCGGCGTCAGTCAATAGCGGGAAAGTGCGTCGGAGTCTCGTGTTCTCTGACTGCCTCATGTTCCTCTGACCGCCTCATGTTCCTTGACTGCCCACGTTCCACTGACCACCATGTTCCACTGACCACGTCATCTTCCTTCTGACCGCCTCACGTTCCACTGACCACCTCATGTTCCACTGACCACGTCATCTTCCTCTGACCGCCTCATGTTCCTTCTGACCGCCTCATGTTCCTCTGACCGCTTCATGTTCTGACCGCCTCACGTTCCTCTTGACCGCCTCACGTTCCTGACCGCCTCACCTTCTTGACCGCCTCACGTTCCTCTGACCGCCTCACGTTCCTCTGACCGCCTCACGTTCCTCTGACCGCCTCACGTTCTGACCGCCTCACGTTCCTTCGACCGCCTCACGTTCCTCTGACCGCCTCACGTTCCTCTGACCGCCTCACGTTCCTCTGACCGCCTCATGTTCCTTGACTGCCTCATGTTCCTCGACTGCCTCGTGTTCCTCTGACCGCCTCATGTTCCTCTGACTACCCATGTTCCTCTGACCACCTCATGTTCCTCTGACCGCCTTATGTTCATCTGACCTCCTCATGTTCCTTTGACCACCTCCTGTTCCACTGACCACCTCATCTTCCTCTCACCGCCTCATGTTCCTCTGACCACCTCATGTTTTACCAGCCACCTCTCTTCCCTGACCGCCTCATGTTCCTTTGACCACCTCATCTTCCTCTGACAGCCTCATGTTCCTCTGACCACCTCATGTTCCCAACCACCTCATCTTCCTCTGACCGTCTCATGTTCCTCTGACCGCTCATGTTCCCTCTGACCGTCCTTATACCTCTGACCGTCTCATGTCTCCTCTGACCGTCTGCACCTTTCTTACTGCCTTCATAGTTCCTCTTACCGCCTCATGCCTGACTGCCTCATGCTCCTCTGACCGTCTCATGTTCCTCCTGACCGCCTCATGTTCCTTGACCGCCCATGTCTCCTCTGGACTGCCCCATGTTCCTCTGACCACCTCATGTTCCACTGACCACCTCATCTTCCTCTGACCGCACCGCCTCATGTTCCTCTGACCGCCTCATGTTCCTCTGACCGTCTCATGTTCCTCTGACCGTCTCATGTTCCTCTGACCGTCTCATGTTCCTCTGACCGCCTCATTCTAGCAGTGGCACAAAACTGACGACTTAAAATGACGCTTCGGTCGGTTGCAAATCATGATGTCAAAATAATGTAAAATATCACGTGTTTTTTTTTATCAAGACCAACAGTAAAACATTAAATTCTGTCTTCGAAAAAAAACACGATCAGAATTTTAAACTTTACCGAAACATAAGATAAAAATTATATTAAGAAATCATAATAAATATGTTTAAACTTTACTTAAGAACAAGAAATAGATTTATACAGTAATTATTTATCAATGTCACCCCTCCTCTCCCCTCCCCAGCTCACCTGACGCTTTCTGACAGGTGTAATTAGTTCACGCGCCAGAAACTAGAAACTTATCTACGGACAAAACTAATTAAGGCTATTTATTCACATTAATGAAATGTATTGGCGGTGTTTTTGTTTTTTTTTGGTCGTTTGTATCGTGTTTGTTTTTGTGTGTTTTTCCTTCATTAAGAGAGAGAGAGAGAGCGAGGATGTTGAAGATGACAGGATGATTATTATTATTATTATTATTATTACTATTAGTATTATTTATTATTATTGTATTATTATTATTATTATTATTATTATTATTATTATTATTATATTAGTATTATTTATTATTATTGTTATTATTGTTATTATTATTATTATTATTATTATTATTATTATTATTATTATTATTATTATTATTATTATTTACTATTATTACATTGTTTTTATTGTTATTATTATACTACAACTTGTAAGAAAACATTGATAAAAGTGTGTAAAGGTGTTTCATATACTCTGTTAATTGTGCTGACAATTTTTAATGAAGAGTTGATTGTTGTTTTGAAGTTGTTGTTTAATTTTTTTTACGAAGGTAGATCTCTATAACAGGGTGAATCCTCTCTCTCCTCTCTCTCTCTCTCTCTCCTCTCTCTCTCTCTCTCTCTCTCTCTCTCTCTCTCACCATATCCTCTCTCTCTCTCTCTCTCTCTCTCTCTAATATCCCAAATTCTAGCATATATCATTGTGTTAGCCCCTCTCTGTCTCTCTATTTAATTATTTGTCTGTCTGTCTGTCTGTCTGATCCTGTCTGTCTGTCTCTCTGCTGTCTGTCTGTCTGTCTCTGCTGTCTTTCTGTCTGTCTGTCTCTGTGCTGTCTGTCTGTCTGTCTGTCTGTCCGTCCCTCCAGCTTAAAATTCCAACTAAATCCCAATTATTTTTTTCGGACCTAAATAAATACCAGAGAGGCTTTCCATAATAGCTTACAAATACGTTAATTATTAGCCGTCTCTCATATAATTAGGTAGAGGATATATGCCTTAATATATTGATCCTCTTAATATAGCTTATAATTATATCATATAGTGGAGATAGTGTTGTTATATTTTGCTATATTGTCCCGTTATATTATTTTTTTTATATTGTTGGGCTATATTTTATGTTTTTGTTATAATTTTATTTGTTGTTTAATTTAGTTATGTTATTGGATTATATTAAGTTCTTGTTGTTTTAATTTTTTCCTTGTTTGTGTTTTTGTTTGTGTGGTTTTTTGTTTTTGTCTGACTTTTTTATTTGTTTTTATTTTTAATTATTTTTGTCTTTTGTTTTACTTTTGTATGTTTGTGTTCTTGTTTCTTTTTCTTTTTTTACTATTTTCTAACTTATTTGTGTTTTTGTTTGACATTTATTGATTGTGTTCTTGTTTTTTAATACTTTTCTGACTTATTGTTTGTTTTTAGTTGTAATTAATTTCCCTCTGTTTTGATTGCCGTTTGTTGTTTGTAGTTGTTTTTCTTACTATTATTTTTTCATTATAATTTTTACTTTTTTGGTTTGTGTTTTTTAATATTTTTCTGACTTTTGTTCGACTCTTTGCTTCACTTTGCGTCATTTGCTTCACTTTGCGTCATTTGTTTCACTTTGCGTCATTTGTTTCACTTTGCGTTATACTTTGATCTCAGAAACAGAGTATGTGAGTCAGGGCTGTGAAATATTACCAGAGGTCCCGGTAACGTTATTAATGAACTGTGCTGACGTGAGAGTGTTGCGTGGGTCAGGTTATTTTGGGAGAGTGGCTGCTACCCCTGTGAGAGTGGGCGGTAATTCCTGTGAGAGTGGGCGGTGGTTCCCGTGAGAGTGGGTGGTGGTTCCCGTGAGAGTGGGTGGTGGTTCCTGTGAGAGTGGGTGGTAGCCCCTGTGAGAGTGGGTGGTGGTTCCTGTGAGAGTGGGTGGTAGTTCCTGTGAGGAAGTGGGTGGGCGTTCATGGTGTGCTACCTGTGAGAGTGGGTGGTGGTTCCTGTGAGAGTGGGTGGTAGCCCCTGTGAGAGTGGGTGGTGGTTCCTGTGAGAGTGGTAGTTCCTGGAGTGGGTGGTGGTTCCTGTGAGAGTGGGTGGTAGTTCCTGTGAGAGTGGCTGCTACCCTGTGTGAGGTGGGCAGTGGTTCCTGTGAGGTGAGTGGTTCCTGTGAGAGTGGGCAGTAGTTCCTAGAATTGGTAGTTCCTGTGAGAGTGGGTGATAGTTCTCAGAGTGGGTGGTAGTTCCTGTGAGGAGTGGGTGGTAGTTCCTGTGAGGTGGTGGTAGTTCTGTGAGGTGGGTGATAGTTCCTGTGAGAGTGGGTGGTAGTTCCTGTAGAGTGGGTGGTAGTTCCTGTGAGTGGGTGATGGTTCCTGTGAGGTGGGTGGTAGTTCCTGTGAGAGTGGGTGGTAGTTCCTGTGAGGGTGGTAGTTCCTGTGAAAGTGGGTGGTAATTCCTGTGAGAGTGGTGGTAGTTCCTGTGAGAGTGGGCGGTAGTTCCTGTGAGAGTGGGCAGTAGTTCCTGTGAGAGTGGGCAGTAGTTCCTGTGAGAGTGGGCGTAGTTCCTGTGAGTGGGCGGTAGTTCCTGTGGTGGGCAGTGGTTCCTGTGAGAGTGGGTGTGGTGTTCCTGTGAGAGTGGTGGTAGTTCTGTGAGAGTGGGTGGTAGTTCCTGTGAGTGGGTGGTAGTTCCTGTGAGGTGGGCAGTGGTTCCTGTGAGGTGGGCGGTAGCTCCTGTGAGAGTGGGCAGTGGTTCCTGTGAGTGGGTGGTGGTTCCTGTGAGTGGGTGGTAGTTCCTGTGAGAGTGGGTGGTAGTTCCTGTGGTGGCTGCTACCCTGTGAGGTGGGCAGTAGCTCCTGTGAGAGTGGGTGGTAGTTCCTGTGAGGTGGGTGGTGGTTCCTGTGAGAGTGGGTGGTAGTTCCTGTGAGAGTGGGTGGGAGTTCCTGTGAGAGTGGCTGCTACCCCTCTGAGGTGGGCAGTAGTTCCTGTGAGAGTGGGTGGTAGTTCCTGTGAGAGTGGGCAGTAGTTCCTGTGAGAGTGGGTGGTGTGTTCCTGTGAGAGTGGTGTAGTTCCTGTGAGTGGGTGGTAGTTCCTGTGGTGGTGGTAGTTCCTGTGAGTGGGTGGTAGTTCTGTGAGTGGGTGGTAGTTCCTGTGAGGTGGTGTAGTTCTGTGAGGTGGGTGATAGTTCCTGTGAGTGGGTGGTAGTTCCTGTGAGAGTGGGTGATAGTTCCTGTGAGAGTGGGTGGTAGTTCCTGTGAGAGTGGGTGGTAGTTCCTGTGAGAGTGGGTGGTAGTTCCTGTGAAGTGGGTGGTGTTCTGTGAAAGTGGGTGGTAATTCCTGTGAGAGTGGGTGGTAGTTCCTGTGAGAGTGGGCAGTGGTTCCTGTGAGAGTGGGCAGTAGTTCTGTGAGTGGTGGTTCTGTGAGTGGGCAGTAGTTCCTGTGAGAGTGGGCAGTAGTTCCTGTGAGGTGGGTGGTAGTTCTGTGAGGTGGGTGGTAGTTCCTGTGAGAGTGGGTGGTAGTTCCTGTGAGAGTGGGCAGGTGGCTCCTGTGAGAGTGGGTGGTAGTTCCTGTGAGAGTGGGTGGTAGTTCCTGTGAGTGGGTGGTAGTTCTGTGAGTGGGTGGTAGTTCCTGTGAGTGGCTGCTACCCCTGTGAGAGTGGGCAGTAGTTCCTGTGAGTGGGTGGTAGTTCCTGTGAGAGTGGGCAGTAGTTCCTGTGAGAGTGGGTGGTAGTTCCTGTAAGAGTGGGTGATAGTTCCTGTGAGAGTGGGTGGTAGTTCCTGTGAGTGGGTGGTAGTTCCTGTGAAAGTGGGTGGTAGTTCCTGTGAGAGTGGGTGGTATTTATTCCTGTGAGAGTGGGTGGTGGTTCCTGTGAGGTGGGTGGTAGTTCTGTGGTGGGCAGTGGTTCCTGTGAGTGGGCAGTAGTTCCTGTAAGAGTGGGTGGTAGTTCCTGTGAGAGTGGGCGGTAGTTCCTGTGAGGTGGGTGGTAGTCCTGTGAGATGGGTTGTAGTGGTGGTTGAGTGGGTGGTTCCTGTAGGGAGTGGGGGGTAGTTCTTTTGTGAGAGTGGGCAGTAGCGTTAGAGTTTGTAAGAGTAGGTGAGGTGCAGGGTGGTAGTTCTGTAGAGTGGGTGTAGTTCCTGTAGAAGTTGGTGTAATTTGTTAGAGTGATTGGTAGTTGTTAGGTTGATGTTTGGTTATCTTAATGAATAAGGTTATGTTAGAGTGGTTAAGTTGGAGTTATATTAGCTTAGGTATCTTAGAATGGGTTAAGTTAGGTTAGATTGAGTTAGGTTGGTTATTTTATCTTAGAATGGGTTAAGTTAGGTTAGATTAAGTTAGGTTAGGTTAGCTTGGGTTATCTTAGAATGGGTTAAGTTTGCGTTAGGATGGTTAATCTGGAAATAACCTGGGGAGCTATTCTTTGGTGATCTTTTTTACCATATAACACATTGTGTTTCCCTATCTATTTAATATCACAAAAAAAAAGAATGTATGCATTTTTCTCTTCATTTATTGTTTTCTTCCATCTCTCGCCATATATTTCACATTTTGGTGTTTTCTGGGATATCTCAGTTTTTCATATCCGGTTAGCGTTCTGTTTTTTTGTTCTTACCTCTTCATCTATCGTTTTTTTCTTTGAAATTTTCAATTACCTCGTCCATATTGTGTTTTAGCCGCGAACAGAAAGTTTTTTTTTTTACGTGTCTGAGTCTCTTGAGATGTTGGGACGAAAATATAATTTTAAGACTTCGAAGTTTATTCTGTTGTATCGTCTGTTAACGGGAGGTTTCGAATGATCTCTTGAATCAACCAATTTTTCTCTGTTAATTCGTCATTTTATCTGTTTCTGTTAAGAAAATACTGTATATACTAGAACCTTTTAGAATTCGTACAACTATCAAACTGTCGCGTGTCGTTTGAGAACAGGTTGAAGTCTAGAGCGCTTTGTTTACTGAGAAAAAAATATCTATAGGTCCAGGATTACAATACTGTTTTCTGTGAATAATTGACGTGTTTGGGGGTAACTGCTAAATATTCCATCTGGGGATATTATCAACTTCTGGAAAAAGAGACGGCAATGAAATGTGTCTACATCTGACGTAATGTGTGTGAAAGGATGAGTGGAAGTGGCGTAAAGACACGGGAGAGGAGGGTTGAGGACGGATGAGGAAGAGGAAGGAATTGTTCGGTGGAAAATTATGACAGTTTAAGTACAAGCGGAAAAATAGAATTCAGGTCAAGATGGAGATGAAGAGGTGGAAATTGGGTTGGGGGTTGAGAGAAAGAAATTAGAATATAGGTAGTTACAGAGATTTATATAAGGTGTGAGATGGAAGTGGATGGGAGAAGAAAGATGGGGTGGGATGTGGGGAGGAGGGAGAAAGGTGGGGTGTGGGGAGGAGAAAAAAGATGTGGGGGGAGAAGATGGGAGGGTGAGGAGGAGGAGAAAGGTAGGGAGGGTGGGGAGGGAGAGGAGAGGGGTGGTATTAGGGTGAAATTGTGGTTGAGAGATAGAAACGAATAGCTTTATAAACAGAGATAGAGAGAAATTGAGATATAAGAGAACTTGAGAGAGGCAGATGGTGAAGGATAATGAGCTGATAGAATGGAAAAATGAATAAACAGAGCAAAAAGAACAAAGCATGGTGGATGAATACATAAAAGGAAGAAAGAAAGGAAGAGAGACTAACCCGACAAGAGACGTTAATAGCATCTTCCTGTACTCTGTTGTCCATTGTCTCCTTGTCTAATGATCCCTTTCCTTATCCTGGGGAGGGAGGGGGGGTGAGGACGCTAACACTCTCTCTCTCTCTCTCTCTCTCTCTTTTTTCTCTCTCTCTCTCTCTCCTCAATATGGACCGAGGTATTGTATTTCCGGATTATTGGTTGGATTTCTGGGATTTAAAGTCTGATATAGTTGATGCAGGAGAACAGTACAGACCTTCTCTTTAATGATGGAGAGAGAGAGAGGTAATGATAGTGAGTATGGGAAATGTTGTCGTGTGACGTTTGTAAATATTTCTGACTTATTATTTTCTGTCAACACTGTGAAGGGAGAGTCATGATGGTCGGCTCATGTCCGTCCTCACCTTGTTGACCTGGACAGCTGTATAAGGAGGATTTCTGAGTCATAGATCACAGGAGGTTAAGTCACCTAAGATTAGTCCACCCCAGCTATTATATCACCTGATGATTAAACACCTAACGCTAATCTAATCTAATTTAACTAAACCTAACCTAACCATTCTTACATAGGTTAATGTCAAAAAGTGTAGATCAGTGTAAAAGGTCAAGATCAATGTCAAAATCTCGTGGTGTTAAAAAAGTCTCAATTTAAGTTAATATTTCAGGATGGGATAAATTTTGTAATGATCAAACTCACTGAACACTTACAAAAAGTTCTAAACCTCATTAAGTTTGGAGGGCAGGTTAGGTCAGAGGTCAAGGGTCACATGGTACTATGGATACTCTCTTATTATTGGCCATGTCTTCTGAACTGTGACATTTTGTTGGGAGCTTCTTGGGAAATCTTTGAGGATAATACATTTAGAAAAGAGTTGACGTGTCGGGCCCTTGGCCATCGAATGTCCCAAAAGAGGCACTGGTGTTTCCTTGAGTACGATGTTACCTTCCTTGAGTTCAATGTTATCTTCCCGAGTAAGATGCTACCTTCCTGCGATGTTATGTCTCTGAATACGATGTTACCTTCCTGAGTACGATGTTATCTTCCTGAGCACCATGTTGCCTTCTTGAGTACGATGTTACCTTCTTGAGTACGATGTTACCTTCCCCTGAGTACGATGTTATGTTCCTTGAGTACGATGTTACCTTCCTGAGTACAATGTTACCTTCCTGAGTACCGATGTTACCTTCCTGAGTACGATGTTATCTTCCTGGTACCGATGTTACCTTCGTATGATGTTACCTTCCTTGAGTACGATGTTACTTTCCTGAGTACGATGTTATGTTCCTGATACGATTTTATGTTCTGAATACGATTTTACCTTCCTTGAGTACGATGTTATCTTCCTGGGTACGATGTTGCGTTCCTGGCCCAATGTTACCTGCTTGAATACGATGTTCTTTCCTGAGTACGATGTTATGTTCCTGAGTACGATTTTACCTTCCGTGAGTACGATGTTACCTTCCTTGAGTATGATGTCATGTTCTGGTACGGTGTTACTTTCCTGAGTACAATGTTACCTTCGCTAGTACGATTTACCTTCCTTAGTACGATGTTATCTTCCTGAGTACGATGTTATCTTCCTGAGAACGATATTCCTTTCCTGAGTACGATGTTGCCTTCCTGAGTACGATGCTATCTTCTTTGGATGCAGGAGGAGAGAGGAGGTAAAGGAAGAGGAGGAGGAGCCTGGGTGAGGGAGGTAGAGGAGGAGGATGAAGAGAAGTTTTGTCTTGGAGGAAAATAGGAAAGGAGGAGGAAACGAAGTGAGTTGGAGAGGAAACAAGATGACTGGGGTGAGGGGAGGCAGAGTGGGGTGAGGGGTGAGAAGTTAGGAGTGGGAACAGAGGTGGGATGAAAATAGAAGTAGTGGGAAGGAAAGGGTCAGAGTGAGAGTAAGAGGGTTGAGTCAGGAGTGGTGGGAAGGAGAGGAGTCGAGTGCGTGGGGTGAGTGAGTGGGATTAGTGCAAAGGGTGAGAGGGGAGTAAGAATGAGAGCTGTCGAGTGGGTGGATTGAAGGTGAGGGTGAGTAAAATGGGAGGAACGGGTGGAGGGGTGAGGAAGAGGGAGATAAGTGTAATATTCATCACACACACACACACACACACACACACACACACACACACACGGCACACACATATACACACACACACACACACACACACACACACACACACACACACACACACACACACACACACACACACACACACACACACACCATGTAAGACTGGGGCTAATAAGGGGAGAGGACTGCCTACTGGCCTGAGGGGATGGGATGTCACGTCTCCTAGCCTCAGGGGGATGAAGCGGTCGGGGGGATAGGGGCCAATGGGGAGAGGTACATGGCTTGGGGATGAGGGGATGACCTATTAGCTCTAGCCTATGTGGGTGATAGAGAGGATGTAAGGTTTGAATTAGGAGAATAACGTAACGAACTGGAGATGGTGAGAGTGTGAGGAGGGAGAAAGAGGAATGAGTGAAGATATGTTGAAGACATTGTGGTTCCAGGAGAGAGGGAGAGAGGGAGAGGGAGAGAGGGGGTCCCACACACACATTAAGTGGTCGACACGTATGGAATATATTTGGATATATTCATTGTAAATAGTTGGGTGTGTAATACCTCTGGCCAATACCACTTAGCACTGTCTTGGTTCTGCTGGGTCAACAGTGGTGGTGGGTGTTTGAGTTTAGGTGTGTGTGTGTGTGTGTGTGTGTGTGTGTGTGTGTGTGTGTGTGTGTGTGTGTGTGTGTGTTACTGGTGTTCTCTGTCTCTGTCTCTCTCTTTTTTATTTTCTTTATTTACCCCGTCCATCCCATCACTATCTCTACCTCCTTCCCTATTCTCTCCTCCATTCTCTCCTTCCCATAACCTCTCTTCTAACTATCCTCCCTTTCTTTCCTTCACTACCTCTCTGTCTCCTTCTCCCTATCTCTCCTTCACCTATTTTCCCTCCTCCTTAACTCCTTCTCTCCCTCCCACCTTCCTTCCTTTCCTCCCAAATTCCCTCCCTTCTCCTTCCTTCTCTCCCTCTCCCCTGTTCCTCTCTCCTCTCACTTCGAATCGTTTGCACTTTACCTCTTTTCCTTTCACATTTCCCTCCTCCTCCCCTTCCCTGGGCCCCGGGTGGTGTCAGGGTGTCATATTGTCTGGGTGTAGTGATATGAGGAAGGTGTAGTGGAGCCAGGTGTTGATAGTGGGTGTTCTACAGGGACGGCCCTCTTATCATAGACTCTCTCTCTTTTTTTTTTTTTTTTTTTTACTTCTGCCCGTCATAAAGGTAACTGGTCAATGGACAGTGAATCCCAAAAGTATCGATGGGATAAAAATCGAGCGATAACCTCCAGACACGTCCATGTATTGGGCTGAGCTGGTGTGGTCTTTGCCTGATGTTTCATATTGTTTCGGACGCCTGGATTGGCTCTTCTTTTATTGACCTTATTATGGTCAGCGTCTCAGTCATTCATTGCTGTCACTTATTTAATGTTGGATTTGGTATAATACTTGATTATTATTATTGTTGTTATTATTATTATTATTATTATTATTATTATTATTATTATTATTATTATTATTATTATTATTATTATTATTATTTCCATTAATAACACTTAAAATAACACACACGAAGAATTAAAGAACTTTCTGAAGTCTTAGACATAGTATAATTTATAAAAAAATAAGAATTGTATTTATTCGGCTTCATTTCCTTCCTCTCGGCCATCTTTACTGTCCCACTTTCTTTGTGCTTTCTTTTCTTTGTGGCAGAAAACTGCATTCAGTGCCTTTGTTGCTTGTGGATATAAAGTTTCGACTCTGTGTTTTATTTGGATTTTCCATTTTCATATGACGATGTGGGTGAAGGGTTGGTGTCATGTTGTGAGGGTGGTCTGTGTGTTGTGAGGTTGGTGTTGGAGGTGGTGCTGTGTGTTGTGG